GTATACATTACAGTGCTTTGTAACTGCAAAGCTTGGTAACAGCCCGAGAGCATATAGTAAACTAGTGCAGCAGAGAGTTAAGTGTAATAGGACAAGCTGGAGAGGGAAAGGCCTTCAGTGTTATGGGTTCTGGTCACTGGAGTGTGCTGGCAGAGGAGGGTCCAGCCCACACCTTGCTGAAATGCCCCTGCTGCCTTTGTTGCTGCTCCCAAAGGCTTCTCCCCATGGGAATGGCCAGCATGAATTGCAGAAGGAGTTCAGGGAAAGCACAGAAAGGTGGCTGATATTCTGTGGACTTTTTTAGAAGGTATTAACCCAGATCATCTGTTTTGCTGCTGGGTACAGTATTGTATATGCCTCTTTTTTTATCACCACCTGAGCAGAAAACACTTACTACAATTGCAAGTCTCTATAGCAGAAACATATTTACTTGCTTTGCAAGACATCTGATTTATCTTCCATTTTGCAGGGCACCACTAAATCTTATTTCCTGGAATTTTTTTGTGGTTTTCACGAGATGTGAGCTCCATGTTTCATCAACCGCCTTTAAAACCTTTCCTCTTTGATCGGCTCTTCACAGCTCCAGATTTCCCTCTGACTGAAAGGGCCAATCACCATAAATCTGTCAGAGCTTTTGGAATTGTCTTCAACCCATTTGGCTGTGTGCAACCCAATAAATGGAGGTTATTATTCCCCTTTATGCTAAGCTGTGAAAGCACATCAGAAAGCATTTGCTTCTTGTCTCAAGTCCAGTGCTGTTTTTCCCCAAGCAACAAAGAGAGTCATCTTGGTGCAAAGGCAGCCTTAATCCCACTTGTGTGATAGCCTCAATTTCCTGAGGATCCTCTAGCTTCCCTTACCTGCAGGCATAGCTTCTTTATTGTAGAAATAGTAGGAGCCTTGCTGCAGCCGTGGTCAGTTCTGTGCACAGACACAGGAATTGATTGCTAAATCCAGTTAAGTTCTGTCATGCCAAGTGCTAAAGAGGGTATCATCTGATTTTTGTCATGTGCCACCTGCTTTAGTGAGAAGCCAAGCACTGCTGATCTCCCACCAGCAGCAGTTTGTGTCAGACACTGAATTCTGGGGCACAGATTGACTTGTTGCACATATTTAGTCTTTAGAGTTACTGAGTGCAGTTGGATTTTCTTCTCCTTGGCCCTTGCCAATGTGAAGTTATGAGATCACACTGGAAATCTGGATGCAGCATGTGTCTAAATCTTTCTATACTTTAAAAAACTATTATTTGCAAGAGTCTTCTGATAAAGGGATAGCAGAATGTCCCAGAAATCCGCTTTCATTAGCAAAAATGCACTGTTTCTGATTTGCATATGCTGAAGCTGCATATGTTTCTGGGTCTGAACAAGGGCAAGCAGCACTTAGGTCATTCACTCAAAACTGCTTCCCTGGAGTGTGTAAAAGTCACAGCTCTACATCGTGAGGCCTTCTAACACAAAACGCTCTCCCCCTTATTTTTATCCTATTTTTATCTATAGTTTCTTATTTATAATTTTTTCTATTTAGCCTATTTTTAGCCTGAGTGGGTATGGAGCTCTTATTGTCCGTCTGTATCCCCTGCATGATTTCCTGTATCTATCAGGACTTAGGTGCACAGGTGACAGAACAGTTAGAACAGCCCATAAAACTGGTAAGATAGGAGGAAATCCTTTGTGTTGTTATTCCAAGCGCACCATCCATCTCTTTTTTTAAGCCTCCAACCAACCAAATCAAAGCTGTTTAACAGCTTATTTACCAGAATTTCCTGTCCCTACAGAAAAGAAAGCATCAGCCAGGAGGAATCTGGCATCTGAAAGGTATTTTCACAGTATCTATCAGGGATGAAAATGGTCAGACCAGTAGGACTGGAGAGGTAAAGTCCTCTGTTGGAAATTCACTCTCTCACCACTATTGTCTTTTCTGTAATCTAAAACCACAATTGCAAGGGTCAAGTTAATCCAGATCTCAAAGACCCTGCATTGAGACACCATAGAGAATGGTGTGGTGATAAGAAACCCTGAGTTTGGCTGAGGCCTTCCTCATTCCTTCCCCATTGACTCTGGACACCCTCAGGACTGCTGCTTTCAGTTGCTGTTTACGTGGGGCTGCCCTGGGGCAGGTTGAGAGGAAGACTCCATCTGTCCTGCCCAAGCCGTGAGTTTTGAATGAATAGCCTGAGGAAAGCAGGAAGTTGGCACTGCTTTGAAATACTATGTTTCCTTCTCACAGCCGCAAAGACTGGGAAAGGGCAACACTGGAAGAAGCACACTCTACAAGACAGATTTAATCAACTTCATTCCAAGGTTCCTGAACCTCCCAAGTTCACCATGCCCAGGGTCTTCGGTCTGTTTCCAGAATTCATGAATAAGCAGGTTTGTCAGTAGAAGCAATCTGACTGTTTGATGTGGGAGGCTGCCCTTGCACCATACTCACCAGGCACAAATCTTCTGGGCCACCTGCAGGCTATGCTGCCCTCACTGGAGCACAGCATGTGAAATATCCTTCTCAGGCTGCAGGAGCTGATTACAAAGTTTGCTCTGAGAATTTGCCCAGAAAGACAAGATTCGCCAAACAGGAAGTAGCTTTTATTTGCTTTGGGTAAACCCAACTCTACTTTCAGTGGAGTGGTAGAAAAATCCATTATAAGGCACTCTAATCTCCTTTATCCAAACCTCAGGAGCTTGTCCTAGTAGGAACAGCTGTGAGAAAAAGGGAAGAGCATAAGCTGTTCATGAAACTAATTTAATGGTTAAAACCTGTCCTTGTGCTGTTGTCTGATGTGTACTTTTCTCCATAGGGGGAGAGAGCTTTGACTTCAAGCCCTGATCTAAAATACCGGTGGACTGTTCTAAAACCAGTGAGCCAGAAAAGGTAGGTGAAGATTGAATCATGTAGAGGATAAGGCTGGCTTAAAGCAGACAAGATAGGTAGAAAGGATCTGCAAGATAGGTAGAAAGGATCTGCATTTCCTTCCTGGTGATGAGGGAAGACACCACCGCTCAGGCACTGCAACACCATCTTTCTACAGTTTCAGCCAGCAACACAAAGATTACCATCTTTTGTCTTTTACAACAATGTTTCTCCCCCCTTAAAACCCCTTCTTCCTTGCAAATTCACCATAGGCTGAGAGAATAAAGCTGAACACTAGTTTGAATACTGAGTTTGTTGTTTTCCCACAGCATGGCTAATTCACATCCTATAGTGCTCAGCCTTGGAGATACCCATAGCTCTCTCCAGGCTGGTAAGTACATCATTAAGCTGAGAAACACAAACTTTCAGGATAGATCTTTGCTAGCTACCTGCAGTGCAGGTAGCCTCTTCTGATAGCTGCTATCTCTCTGGATTGCATCTTCCCACAAATAGTGTGCAGGGAGCAACAGGGGAAGGCATCACTCAGCATTAAGAGTGATGCAGATCTGGCTCTTGGAACTTTAGTCTTTCTGTGACATTTCTCAGCTGAGTAAACTTTTCAGTGTTGTCTTGGAGAACGTGCTAAAGGGAGAAGTGCTCTGAAAGAAGTAAATTTTAATATTGCTGGATCAGCTTAGCAGAAAACCCTTCACTCCTTCATCTCAGCCTCATATACTTGTTGTATATATGCTCATTAACATATAGTCATAAACCATACACAGGAAATTTACTGTAATGTTCATTTACTGTAAGTCATTGCCCTAGTGACTTAAAAGTATATAGCATAATTAGTGGAGGGTCAGGGTAATGTTACTCTTTTATTAGTGACGCTGAAGAGACCCTGACTCCTTCCTACAGGCTCAGCTGCTGAACTAGAGGCAGGGAGAGCTGAGGGAGGTTTAGCTACCTGTCACATTGGCAATGCCAAGTCCTCGAGAAGTTTTCTTGTTTTAGACCTCCTGGAAACGTTCCCACACCTCAGTCTTCTGGCTCCACTAGCACCCAATCTGCAGCCCCTGTTTCTAACACATCTACATCATGCAAGTTTCAAGATGATACAGAAGAGGACACAGTGAGAAACCTGGCCCCAGTTCCTTTGCTAAGGAGGCATAAATGTTTCTTCTTATGTAGAAAAGACCTATGTGAATAAACATTCTGTGCAAGTGCTCTGGCTGTGTGTGGAGACTCTGCTATGCCTTGGCAATGGTTCTGCAAAAGCTTTGCTTAGCAGACAGCTGTACTATGCTAAATATGGAGTGATTTCTGTGAGCTGACTTCACCACCAAACAGTGGGTACCCATCTCATTGTAAAGTGAGATCTCCATTGAACGAGAGCAAGATGCTACTAAGGCTTCTGAACTTACCTTGCTTGGCTTCTAAACGAAGCCATCTCTCCTCTGACCCATAATAACCAGATCCTGAAATGCATTATGTATCTTACTTCCTTCTACCTTCTGCAGAAACTGTGTGTCTCTGCATCACTCAGATTCCGTGCTTTATTTCCTCCTGCCTGGCATGGATTTGAACCAGCAGCAAAGCAAAAAAAAACCTCTGCATGACATGATCGGTTGTGCTTGCTTTGCTACTTGACCTTTCAGCAGTTGACTCTGGCATCCTTATTTCCAATTGCTTGTTATGGTTCTTGTCAAAACAGTAATACAGGACATGTTATGTGGAGAGTAGGACTGGGGCATTTGGAAGACCCCAACAATTATTCTCCTTCATAGCCAGAAGGGAACTGGTAGATTTATGCAGAAGGTCAGGTCACAAAGTGTTACAGTCTGAGCAAGATTCTGTCTTTTACCCCATAAATGGTTTAATATGGTTTAAATTACCACCCTAAGGAGTAACAAAAAGTGGTTACCCAGTAGTGAGGGATCTCCTGTTAGGAGTGTGGAAAATTACATCTATTAATAGCTTGAGATTACCTCCTGAGGGAGACCTATTGTACAGATTTAGCTGTATTTTGCCTTTAATTCATCAGCTGTTAGTAATTACATCCTACATTTTGTAATGGAAAAAATGAATCTGAACTGGTTGTTGAGACTATACTTAAATCATAAGAGGGAGAGGAAATTACAATGCAAATAGCATCAATCTTGTAAACAATTTTAATTCACTACTTAAATATTCATTAATTAAATAACGTTTTAAAGAAGTGCATTCTGGAAAACATAGCCACACTGAAAGCAGTGCTGGTCAAATTAGCTTAAAGTAACTCCTCTGGCATCTCCCCAGTATGTGAGTTTTTAACGGTTCAGGTAGTAAGCAGCTGAGCTTGTCAACTGCCAGTGGAGAGAAATGCTGACTCCCCTCCTTCCCAAAGATGTCAGCTCTAGTCTGTGCTTTTAAATAGTATCTTACAAGAGCAATATTCTTGTTTAGCTTCTGTTTTGAACCTTTCTTTTTTATTTTAATGACAACTGCAGTTCCTTTACCTCCTTTTCTTTGCATGCTCTACAGTTTCCCACTAGTGGTACTGGATCCTTCAGCAGACCCTGTGGTTTTCCACATTGCCTGCCTGTGCTATAGCCTCAAGTTACCAGGTCAAAATCCCTGTCCCTTGTTCTTCCCTGGGGCCAGTTATAAAAAAGGAAGTTTGTTATCAGACACGATAGTGTGATTATCCTGTCCCAGTGATTGAAAAGGCACCGTTTACAATAACAAAAGTAACCTCAAAGCCAGAAGTGTTTTCATTATCATCCTCTTTCCCGGTAAGTGCAGACGGTTTCGATGGAGAAAGCTGATCAGATTGACATGTGCGGGGCTTGCTGCCCTCTCCTGGTGCTATCAAGGGCCGTATGTTGGATCTCAGCTGCCTCTTACATTGAGGTGTTCCCCTTTTAAGACCATGAGTCCTGCAGGAGAGGAGGGAAAAAGCTGCTTTATAGGTGGAATTGATTCTTTTAAACAGCAGTGTTTTGATGAGGATTAGCTGGATCAATTCAACCAGGCAGAGCTTTTGAATTGTCAGTTGCAAAGGCAAGAGTATCGATCACGTTCTCCGAATCTGCAGATGATCCCCTTAAGGTTTCTGATAGAGATAAATGGATTGGAAGTCAAAGCTGCTGGGTCTTCTGGCTGCTCCTGCTCTATTTTCTGATAACGTTAGCACTTACTATGCTTTTTGTTTAAGATCATGAGAAACAGTATCAAGGCCCATCAGCACATCTCAGTCTCAGCATCTGATGGGAAGCCACCTTCTTACCCTGTAAGGTGACTGACCAGGGCAGGTACTCACCTTGTAGTAATAATTTTACTCCTGATAGCTCCTGAAGCTCAGCTTGTTGGGTCAGGTGCAACAATCAAAGGCAGCAGCTCTCCACAGCGGGCATTCAGTTTTAAGGATGCAAAGTGATCTAACCTCGTGGGGCCAATGTTAAGGATTGCAATTGGCAGCTGCTTATCCCGGGCAGCAAGAGCAAACCTGTAACCAGAGTATACCTGCAGGAATACCAGAAGACAAAATTTCCAGCATCTTAGGCAACAGAACTGCTACAGAAAGGAGTAAGGAAAGTAAAACTAGTTGCTGTTGGCAGTGGGAAAAGGGGCTATATGTACATGCTGTGTTAGGCAGTTGCACTGAGTTCAGGCAGGAAGTCATCCAGGAGTGCACAGAAAAGCAAAGCTCTTAACCTCTGTCAGTGCAGGATTTGCAGCTTCATAGAAACTGAAACTTCACAGTACATTAATGGGAAATGTCTTTGTCTTTCAGTAAATCTCTGCAGTAGTTTTTATTAGTTATCACTGGCACTTAAACGCTTCTACTTTGATGATTCTCACATGGCTCAGCTTAGGTAGGACAAGAATGAACCTAAGGCATTTCAATCATTCCTGTACAAAGGATTATATGCTTAAGAAGTGCAAGTTCAAGGAATTTGTCTCCAGTATCCTGAAGCCAAGAAAATCACAATCAGGCAGCCTTGGTTTCACCTTGTTCTGGGAGGTGTTAAGAGTATTTTTTTTTAATGTAGTAGAACTTGTTCCTGGAAAGAAAACGCTCTTAGACAAACTCTATTCCAAAAGCTTCCACAGGTTAAACAACAGGGGATTCTAAACTACCTTACCTTATAGATAAGAAGCTAATGGAAAAAACACATTGTGATACAAAGGACAATCCTGGCAATCCTAAGAAGAAACCAGAGGTATTTCTGCTCTCTTATCGAGCATTTAATTAGGAACTAGAGGACCCAAAATCTGGTATTTCATACAGTGTGCCATGAGGCCCAGAATGCTGCCAAAAGCTAAAAAAACTAAGCACAAAGATGTGAGGTGGTGATCTCTGCAGGACTGAACTGTATCAGGCATCTTGGCTTTAGGGACAATTGTGAACCTACAATGTCCTGATGGAGGAGCCACCAAAGAGAGATCTGAATGGAGTTATTTCTAGCAGCAGGAAGTATACTGGCAACAGAGTGACAGGGAAGCCCAAACAGGCCAACTGTGAAGCCAGATCCCAACCAGAGTAAATGTAAAATACAAAGAAGCTCTGGAGAGGCTGTTCGGATTCACAATCACTAGTCCTGAATTGTGGGAGCAAGCACTGTTGCAGGCAGAGTACCATAGAAACAGGAAATGCAGTGTGGGAGGAAAACCTACTTACCTGCATAGAGGATCCTGCCACCAGCATGGAGTCTGATTCTGCCAGGCGCTGGTGCACGAAATTCACTTTCTCCGGGCAAACTGTGTCTCCAAAGAATGTCACATCGGGCTTCAGGATTCCACCACATTTACAGCAGGCTGGGACTTGGAAATTACACACTTGCTCATCTGTCAGGAAGACATCTCCATCTGGAGCCACACCGAATGCTTCAGCTTTCCAGGTAGGATTCAGAGCTTCAAATTGCTCCTGAAGCTCAGAGCGCAAGATTTGGTCTCCACAGGCCAGACAGAAAACCCTGAAATTCAGAGGAAAGTCTTAATGGAGAGTTGCACGTGAGCTGAAGAGCTGGAGTCTGCAATTTTTCCCTTAGAAGGCCTGGAAGGTCTATTGTCATCATTCACATTTATTTACCAAATAGTACAGGTCAAGCAGCTGTCTTTCTGCCTCTCATTGTTGCTGCGTAGGAATGCTCTAAAGGAAGCACTCTGAACCCTATTGGCGTCCTCTCTCCCAGTTCAGGACGTGCTTTTGCATCTGGAAACTATGTGATCACTTCCAGGCTGTGGTGGCCCTTCTCCAGTCCACTCATCCTGTGCGTTTCTAGCACTATCATGCTGCATAGGCCTTGTATCCTCAGGATCCTTTTGTCCTCTTCACTAAGAGGACATATGCTGTAGCAAAGAAAGGGGAGTTTCTGACTGATTCAGGCTTTAGGGGAAATGATACAAACAATGCTCTAACAAGTCAGAGTAGTGGTCATGTTCCTTAAATACTGTGCTGAGAACAGCACTGTTCTGTGATGTTTTCCTCCACCCCAGCCAAACACCACCTTTGAGCATGTCATGTTCAGGAACATAGCATTGACATTGTGCCTCCTTTCTCAGCAGCTAACACAGTCACCCTGAACAAGCGACCAGAGGATCAATCATCATCTACCACCAGACATTACCTGTGTGTGCAGCCGTGCAGCTCTGTCAGGCGCTGGCTCCCGGCCTTGGTGTGAAGGGCATCCACGTTCTGGGTCACCAGCCAGTGCAGCTTCCCCAGCTTCTCCCAGTCTCTTAGGACCAAGTGTCCTGTGTTTGGCTGGTAGGAGGAGAACTGGGGCCAGCCCACAAAGTTCCTTGCCCAGTACCGCTGCCGGGCACTGGCACTCCGCATGAACTCAGCATGTTGCATGGGCCGTCTGTCTGTCCTGGCGTAGAGCCCAATGCCTTCAGAGCGGTAATCTGGGATCCCTGATTCAGTCGAGATCCCAGCTCCAGTTATTACAAACAGCCTCTTGGAGTTAGAAACAAAGTGCTTCAGCTTCTCTACTTCTATAGGATCCGGGGGAAGACAGGTTGGCACGAAAGCCAAGTTTGGAGAGGTTCTGGATGCAAAATGGAATCTGAAATTATGGAAGCTGATCGTTCTGTGTACTTCAGGCAACTTCCTAGCAGAGAACATGTTCACCTAAAAGTCAAGAGCAGAACACATGGCAGGTAAAAGAAAGCAAAGCGCATGTCCTTAACTCCATTTTCATGGGATTTTCTGGAAAACTATGCTAAGTATTCTTTGCTTTTTTCTTTTTTTTGGTAAAAAACCACAACTTACTTTGGAAATATTAAATAATTAAAGGCCTAACCTCTAAGGACCAGTATTTACATGTCCCTTTAACTGAGGGCAACACTGAGGACTACTCAAGGTACAAGGACAAAGTCAGCACCCCTGACTTGCAGGATTCCCACTCTTGCATCCTGGTGTGAAGAACAGCTGCCTAAGAGGACTTGTGAAGAGCCCAGAGAGCCCCGAGCATGCAAAGTCTTTCCTAGGTATGTGCAATAGGGCAGAGAAGAAATGTCAGGAAGACCAAGCACCCAACCCCAGAGGCACTCTCTGGCTGGTTCCTCCCCAGAAGACCCTTGCTCTGCCTTCTTTAACATTCTGCCTGTTCCAGTTCAGTCCTTTGCACGTGTTGTGGGAAGGAAAACAAAAGTTAACCTTGAAATACTGCTTTTCAGGACAAAGACCTTGCCTGGAGTTACTCCTGGTGCAGAACAGTCGTTGAAGTGGAGCTGCGGATCATTAGGACACTGCCTAAATGCCTCTGGTACCTCCTGCTTTGTGGGTGCTACCTCCCCAGAGTCAGTGGAAGGCGAGGGAGCTTTGCTTCTCCAGCAAAACAAGGGACTTTGCTGAGAAAGGAGCATCACCCAATGTGCCTGGCAGGTAGGAAAGGGAGGGATATCCTGCTTTAAGGGAGGAACGGTGTGCCCTGTTGGGGACAGGCAGGATGGCTTTGCTGACAAGTAGCCTGGAATTGTGTGCAAGATCTGTTGTGACAGGAGTGGATTGGTTTGGAGCTTGATTTTGTTTGGTCTTTCTAGCAGTCTGCAGTTCTCCTTTCTCCCTTTCAAAACTATTTTTCTGGGCTTCTCCATGGTTTTGCATACAAAGTACAAAACGTCTGGAAAGAAACAGTATTGAGAATTGACTGCCTGGTATTTTTCCCTCCCACCATCTCCCTTAGCCAGGGGGCTTGTATGAGATCTGGAAGATGGAGGAAGGAGTTTAATTATCAGAGCTATTTAGGCGCCTCATAGTCTGGTGCTTAAAACTAGTGTGGTCATGTGGGACGACTGAGTGCAGATTCATGCCACTCCTGCCCTCCTCATCACAGATTACTGGGAGGACACCTAAGGAACTGGATCTCACTGGGAGCCCTCAGCCAGTCTCATATCCCCTTCAGGTATCACAGACAGTGGTTTGAAGGAGGGCTCTGTGCAGCTTGTCAGCTCTCAAAGCACGTGGGCAGTTCCATAGGTGCTGCCTACAGGAAACCTGCAGTGCCTGTGAAGTCTGGGGCAGCTCTGGGAAGTTGGGGGGATTCAAGTGGTGAGCTTACTTGTCTAAAAGGCTGCATCAAAGTACTTTTGATGAAGTGTGTGTCAGTGCCTGGATGGCTTTTAGACTCCTGCTGTGTCTAAATGGCTTTGGCTCAAGTCCCCAGTTCCCCTCAGTACCAGTTCTGTCAATAAATGGAGCAATATTTAAATACATTTAAAGTCTGGGTGTTCAGCTGTATCATGACACTAAATTGATGCTAGTGGCAAAGAGCAGGTTTGCCTCCGTTAATCTTCTATTCTCAAAGCTTTGTGTCATCATCAGTTGAATTACAGGGAAGATTCGACTTCCTCCATAGTCTGAATGACTTTTTCAATCTAAGCAGTGGATTCTGTTCACAATTATTTTTGCCTTGTTTTGTTGTTTAGCAAGAACTGTGGTAGGCTCTGAAGAGGTTTAATTTTCCATCTGATTTAATTATAAGGGACAAAGTCTCCCCCAAAACCCTTTAATTTGCTTTGAGAATACCTTCTGCCATGATGCTCTTGAGGCTATCGAGGCAGTTTGACAGTATTTAAATTGCTTCAACTGTTGAAAACTCAATTCCTGCCCCTTTTCATCAAAAGATCTCTCAGAATGAAATGTTCTGAAGGGAATGAAATGAGACAAAACATGGGTCTGCCCACAAGAAGAAAATAACAGATGAATTTGAGAGCTGCTATGAAGTGAGGAAGCAGGGCAGCATAGGAGAGGAAACACAGAGTGCTTCCTGTGAAATGCAAAGCTGCTTTTACAATGAAACTGCTCACATTATAAAATAACAACCGCTCTCTACAACAAGAGAAACTCTTCCAACGCACCTATCGAGATCTGAGGCTGGCATCCAAGGGGCTCCACAGGCAGAGATCAGACAAGTGCCGGGCAAGAGATAAACGTTCCTAGCAGTGGTGCCAAGGCCAGAAGTTCAGAAGGAACCCCACATCATCCCAGTCTCTTGAATTGTAATAATGATGGGGGGTGGGCCTGACCCGTGCACGTGTAATGGAATGACTAGAGTGATAGGGAAATAATGCCCCAAATCTTACCTCCCCTGACGCCGCTGCGGACGGAAAGTGCTGCTCTGCCGGAAGCAGAGGGATCTGGGAAATGTAGTTCACGGAGAAGTTAAGCCCCAAGCCCAAAGACTACAATTCCCATGCTTCAAATAAGGGAAAAACACGAGTTCCTGACACCCGATAGCCAAGCTGAAAGGAAGCCAAGAGCTTCACAGCTGCCCCCAGCGAGACACAAGCATGATATCGGATTTGATTTCTTACAAATGCGAGTGATAGCTTTGATAAAATGCACTGTAGATTTTTGTCCTTGTAAATGCATTTCATTTTCACTGACACTTTCAGGTCTAAAATGTGACTAAACAAATAATGGAAGAAAAATCCACCGAGGGCTGTTAAGGGCATCTCTCCCTGAGCAGGAATTTCCTGAGATGTCAGTTGTTGGAGGCTCTATGAGTTACTGGGCTGGTACATTTGGCCTGTTCTGGTGCCCTCCTTTGGTACCTACACTTGGCCTCATGAGAGATGGACCTGTCTGGCAGTTCAGTGGTCATAGTTAAGCACATTTAGGACAGGAAAAACATTTGGGAGACAGATGTGGAAAGGGCCCGTGGCAACAAGGATGGACAAGTATTAAAATCTGGTCCTGCAGTTAGTGTGGCCAGACAAAACCCGACAGGTCAGCATAGGGCAAGTGACCTCTGCCCAGCTTTCAGAGGAGGCATGGGTGAAAAACGGCAGGGCAGTTCCTCTGGCCTGGCTGGACCTCTACCAGGGCACCGTTAGGCACCCTGAGCCACTTTGGGATTCAACTTGTTGCCCCCAAAGGACTTGTGCTGGCTGTGCAGTTCAGGATATTCTTCCAAGGCTCAGTCTATATCACCCATTGCTGCTCTGCTGGAGTTGAGCAGATACTGGCTGGGTGAGACAACCCCATGAAACCTGATAGCAGGTGGAAGGGGAACTGGAAGTGTGGGATGGAGGAGTTCCTGGACCAGTGCAACCCATCTTTGCAGAACCATACCAATTGCTCCTGCCCCTCTGTGCCTCTTTAGTGGGGGATGGTGTGGGATTTCTTCCAGTGTTTTCCATGTGATCCAGTTCCTTCCTAAGTGCACAGGGGTGGGTGCTTGGGGTGGCTTCACTGTGTCCTTGTGTGCGCGTTCCCCATGGTGCTGTGTACACACTGTTGGTCCATGCCAGCGCTGACACCACACAGATGGTTTTTAACTGCAGGCCTTCAATAATTGCACTATAAACTGCACCGACTGCTTGGCAAAAAGGGATTTTGGGTCCTTTTCTTCCCAAAGGAGTCTTATTCTTCTGAAGATCTGAACAGGAGGAACTCCAGAGTGTGGCATGGTGGCAGCTGGGTCCTGGGTCCTCACCTGCCTCACACACTATGTGCCCTTGCTGATAACCCGACTACTTTTCCAACGCTCTCCCCAAATGGCTCGTGCCAGTTGGTTAAAAACGTTGCAGGGATATTTAATCCATTTTTCTTTCCTCTTACAGTTAAAGCCCAGAGGACCTGCAGCCTGTGACCAGCAATGTGTAATCCCGCATCCTGCTTGCCCAGTGTCAGTCCCGCGGCACGACCCTCCCCTGGCAGTCCTGTGAGTAACGGTAACCGTCAGGCTGCCGGTGCCTGCTTTAGGGGTTTAAACGTGTTTCCAAACCGTAGGGCGGTGACACCGGGACATCGGCGGAACCCCGGGACCCACCTCCACGGGGCCGGGGGGGGTGGAGCGCTGTGATTTGGCCACTCCCGGCGGGCCGGGCCCCTTCCCCAGTGCTCATTACCATGATGCCCTCCCGGCACGCCCTGCGTGCCCCGTGCCGCGGCCATCGGGACCCCCCCGGTGGAGCCCCCGCCGCCAGCGGCACCGGGAGCGCGCTCTGAGGGTGGGGGACGAGCGTTAGCGCGGGGCGCTTGGGGCTGCAGCGGCGCGCTCTGACCACGGCGGCGGGGCGGCGGCGGCGGGGCCCCGGAGGGCGGAGCTATCCGGTAGCTTTGCGCAGTGGCAGTATCGTAGCCTGTGAGGTTAATCCGAGGCGCGATTATTGCTAGTTGAAAACTTTTCCCAATACCCCGCCATGACGACTTGAAATATAGTCGGCATTGGCAATTTTTGAGGGCCTCTACGGAGGCTGCTTACACGTGGTTAATAGCAGACACAGCGAAATGTGGGTTTCAGTGGGATTGCCATGGAACGGTTAGGGCTGGGCAGGGAATGCCGGCAGAATGGCTCAGGCTGGATCGCAGATGCCGGGTGGTGGCTTCGGTTAGGCAGGGGATACCTGGGAAACAATTCGGGCCGTGGCCGGAAATGCCGGAGGAAGAAGGGCTCGGCATGGGGAAGGGATGCTTGGCGAACGGTTCGGGCAGAGCAGGGATGCCCGGGGGAACGGCTCGGGCAGGGCCGGTTGATGTTCGGGGAACGGCTCGGGCAGGGCCGGTTGATGTTCGGGGAACGGCTCGAGCAGGGCTGGTGATGTTCGGGGAGCGGCTCGGGCAGGGCCGGTGGTGTTCGAGGAGCGGCTCGGGCAGGGCCGGTGATGTCCAGGGGACCAGCTCGGGCACGGGATACCCGGCAGTCACGCTGCAGCGAGGATCCCCCGTACCGCGGGAAGTTGCCCCTCTGATGTAACACGTACTTTGCATATCCTTCCCATTAGGCTTCGCGGCTGCCCCTCCGCGCAGCACGGGACTGGGGAAAACGGGGCTCTCCGCTACCGGCGGCGGTGTGGAACTCAGCGGCGGGCGGGGACGGACCACGGGGGTTACCTGGGGACGCGCGGAGCAGGCGCAGGCGGACGGCGGAGCTCGCCCCGAGCTCGGAGGCGGCCCCGGGGCGAGGCGCCTCGGCGGCAGCAGAGGAGGGTCAGCTTTGCGCAGTGGCAGTATCGTAGCCAATGAGGTTAATCCGAGGCGCGATTATTGCTAATTGAAAACTTTTCCCAATACCCCGCCATGACGACTTGAAATATAGTCGGCATTGGCAATTTTTGACAGTCTCTACGGAGACTGAACATTATGGTTAAAAAACAGGCGAAAAATGACAAAAGTAGGAGTGCGGGCTGAACTCGTAAAGTCAGGGTCTCTTAACTCTCCTGTTGGAATAGCGACAGCCAAAGGCTTTTGTTTTCCCTAGTCCTTCCAGGCCGTGCTCTTGCCAAATCACGGTTTCATAAATGAAGGGCGCGTTCGCATAAAAAGCTGGGTTCTGGCCTTTTTCTTCCCAAGCTACTGAAGGAGGAATTGGGCTGTGAACATGGGACTGGGGTGCTTGGAGAAGGGTTGCTCGTGCTAACGAGAATCCTTTCTCTTGGAAGGTTGCTTGGGCAGCAATGGGAGGTATTTCCCGAGCAAGTAAGTCAGGGGGAGTGAAAATCTGAGTTGTGCTTGACTGGCTCCGGAAGTGCTCCAAAAGCTGTTGAGGATCAGCTTTCAGTGCACAGTACCACAAGCTCCATTTTGTGGGGATTTGTTATTGTATATCCATTGGTACCACTTGCTGGAAAAGAATAGAGGCTCTGTATTGTTAAAGAAATCCCAGACCTCTGAAACAAGCAGCTGTGGGTTTGGTGGAAGACCCTATTACATATGTAAACCCCATCCATTTCTAATTTGCAGCTGTTGTCTTTTTAATACCCAAACTGACCCTGTGAAAGGAGGCTAATGACCAGCTCCTTGGGCTGAAGCTCCTCTGGAGCTGGAAGCAGCTGCCCTCAGTCACTCTGTAGGAGTTAGATCGAGCTGGTGCTGCTGGCAGGGCGCCTTGGAAGCAATCTGAATATATGTGCTATTCAGATGCTCTTGCCCTTCTGCTGGTAAGACCCATAGCCAGGTAGCTGTTTTACACTGGAGCTGGGCAGAGTAGAAAATGTAGAAATGAACATTAATATTCCTTCTTTATCAGGCTTGTCATGTTCAGCTCTGCTGGGGTAGTACACACAACAGTGGCCCTCAGGTGACAGTGAAGCCTCACAGACTGCATTTAACAGAGTCACAGACCAGTTTGGATTGGAAGGAAGCTTAAAGCTCATCCATTTCCAACCTCATGCCATGGGCAGGGGCACCTTCCACTAGAGCAGGTTGCTCCAAGCCCCTGTGTCCAACCTGGCCTTGAACACTGCCAGGGATGGGGCAGCCACAGCTTCTCTGGGCACCCTGTGCCAGCGCCTCAGCACCCTCACAGGGAACAGTTTCCTGTGATGTTAGGATCTTCCTGTGATGAGATTAATGTCTAATTTAAATCTCTCTTCTTCCAGTTAAAAGCCATTCCCCTCATCCTATCCCTACTTGCTCCTGTAGGATTTGTCCCCCTGATAGTTCATTACTATGTACATAATAGTTCATTACTATCAGTATCAGTGCTGATGGTGAAGTGCAGCCTCTGGACACACCTTGACTACACAGCCTTGTACACCCTATGAGGGGGTCAGAGAGAAGAGAGCAGTCCCTTAAAATAATACTTGAAACTTGCTCAGGGACCAGCATGGGGGGTGTTGGGTGAAATCCTTGGCCTTGATGGTGAAAGCCTTTGCTTATAGTAGTCTTGTACTTCGAGCTAGGTAAGGCTGTCATTTTCTGAGAAGTCCTGGATTTAGGGTCAAACTTGGAATGAATTTCCCGGAGGCTGTTGATTATCCACAACTTGGCTGGGGCTAGGGAGGGGATATTTCCATGCCCCCCTAGTGATAGTTCTCATTATAGCACATGTTAACACAGGAAATAACGATGTCTGTTGGATTGTGCTAGCTGGGGAACTGGGTGTGTTTGTGCCTAGAGTGAAAACTGAAGCATCAGAGGTTGCAAGCAGCTGACCTCATGTTCTCTGCCTTTATGGGAACGCGATCCCGTAATCGCAGCCCAGCAACAGGACATGTGCTTTTCAGCTCTGAGAGCATTCTCTGACTCAGTAGTCATTTTGTAAGGAAAAGTGCTACAAGAGTCATGTTTCCTGCATTCTTGGCTGTTCCCACACTGATAGTTCGCAGCGTATCTCTCATCAGATTAGGAATTGAACATTTAGGCTGAGCAGCTGTTTTTCCTGCCATGTCAACTTGGCTGGGGCACAATGGCAAACACTGGCTCTGGTGAGGTTGGAGCTGCTCCGTGGTTTGGGCACAGCTGAGGCCTTTACTGCTTTGGAGTGGGGTTTGGTAGTGGTTGGAAAGGGAAAGCCAGTGGGAAGTGGTGGTTCAAGATGCACATGATAAATCCAGGAAGGTTGGTACAGTTTTTACACACAGCAAAGGAGAAGTACTTGGTGGCTTTCGCTTATGGTGGTGACAACTCATGGAAAATTCTTCAGGCAGGGTTTCACCTGCCCAAGCTTCCCTGTGGATTGTGTAAATCATGTAGGGTTTGGAAACATCCATCTGTTGGGGCGCAGGGCTCCTCAGGGACAGCCGCACTCCGGCTGACACGGGCACGAGCACACATCGCTGCCCTCGGGGGTGCGTTCCCTGTGGAGGCTCCTGCTGCTCCAACTAAGCCGATAGTGTTCCCGGCCGGGCACCGGCAGCCTCGGGGGCAGAGCGGCTGCTGGCGGCAGTGCAGGCTTTGCCGCGGGGCCGGGGCGAGGGCAGGAGGCGCGGACAGGCCCAGGGGAGGCCCCGTCCTTTCCTCGGGCACTCTCCCACCCCCGGGGCTGCGCACCGGCGCTCGGCAGCGCGGCCGGCCCCGCCCGGGACCGCAGACCGCGTCCCCCCGCCTGGGGCCGGGCTGGCGGCTCCCGCTGTCGCCGGCAGGGGGCAGCGCCGGGCGGGCGCGACGCGACGGGAGCGAGCTCGGGCCGCGGGCGCGCGCGGGGGCGGTCCGGCAAAGTTGCGAGGCTCTGAGGCGGCGGCAGCGGCACCGGGACCGGCGGCACCATGGACGACTTGGGTGAGCTCCGAGCCACGCGTACCCCAGCGGCGGGGTGGGGGGTGGGGGGGGCCCGGGGAGACCCCGCGGTCAGCCCGGCCACGCTGCGCCCCTCAGCGCCGCCGCCCGCTCCGCGCCCTGGGGCTCGGGCCGGGCCTGCCGGCGCCCGGGGACGTGTCCGCTCCCCGCCGAGCGCGCAGGGCCTCCCGGTTCGCCGCGCCGCAGCCCGTGCCCAGGGCCCTCGGCCGGGCTGCCCCGGGGACACCGTCCCAGCCCGCGGTCCCAGCCGTCGATGTTTGTCCCGGCCGTGCCCCTCGCCCTTCGGTCCCGTACCGCGGGGGCAGCGTGGAGCGTGGCCGGGTTTCAGCGTGCGCCTCCTACCCTGCCGCTGCCTCTGCCTCTCCAGGCTGTTCCTGGGAGAGACCGGTAACGTCGCGTGGGTGCGGAGCGGTCCCAGGGAGCCCTCGGGGCGAGCAGCGCCCAGCCCCTGCCCAGCGAGCCGCCGGGCTCAGAGCTCATTCTCTTCTGTTTGCTTCGCCCAGGTGTGCTGAAGCCTGCCAGAACCGTGTAGCGGGGAAGTGTCAGGCAGCTGGGCTCACTGGAAAGATCTAGAGAGTTTGAGTTCCTTTGGTACCAAGCCGGAAAGGGGGTGGATCTGCCAAAATCCCTTGTGCTCTGGGAGACATTAGGGTGGCTGAGTTCCGCTTATGAAACTGATTAAATCAGACACTGGGGAGGGGCCGTGATCCGTTACTTCCATCCTACCTTTAATAGAAACCAGGCGTTCTGTTAAGATATGCTCCAGGAAAATTGCAGTTTTCTCATTGGAACTGGAAGCTCATTGAGGCGCTGGTGTGGAGTTGGTCACACCTTCGGAAAACAGACTTTAAATTGGGCTAATGATAAAACGTACAGGGTAAGGAGTCCATCAGCTACATGGCTTCCTGCTGAAAGGTGCACCGTTCTGAGGGAGCCAGACCTCACCCTTTGCCCGGCTGGGTGAAGTAGCTGGTGGTGCAAACAGGATGAACTTCTACTGCAGCTTCTTCTCGCAGTTGTTGTTTCTTTAAGGGGAGGCAGTTCTGTTTACTGCTTCTCATATCCCTGGTTGTCTCTGGGAGATTGGGTGCAAGTTTCTAGCCTGCTCAGGAATGTGTTCTTGTCAGAACAGGATTCCCCCAGCCTGTGTATTGACTTGCTGAGTGGCCCTTCAAGGTGAGCATACAGACAGCATTGTGTAGGGCCAGTTTAGTGTCTCATCTTTAACAACCATGGGAGCTGTGCTGCGCCCACTGTGATCGTTGCCTTCCAACTTCCCAGTTGTTCAGTCAGGCAGCCACAGTTTCAACACATTTGTCCTTTCTTCTGTAGGAAGCTTAGAGCTGATCTGCAAAGAAATTATGAACAAGACCTAAGTTTGTGTCTGTTTTATTCTTCTGGAGTGCTGAATGTATTGGCAGCACTAAAAGTTGAAGTTGTGATCTGACTTGTGTCTCGGCACCTTGATTTCATCAAGTCTCAATTACACCAGGCCTTTCTTAATCTTTGTGCAGTCTGTCAGACTTTCAGTCAAGATCTGATTATCTAATAGTAAGCAAAAATAAAGGAGTGGGACCCTGACTCTCTCAAAGCTTTTCTTTGGTTTACAGAATCCATGGAGGCACACTGGCTGTTTTCCCTCTACAAATCATTGTTAGCCCCCAAATTGCTCACTTACTTTTCTAAAGCCATTCACCATGGGATGCATACACAGGAGAACAATGCTGTGCTGATACAGCTCCCCTGAAACAAGTCAAACCGAAGTGAGAGTTTGTTTTTCTTTCCTTATTATCTATGGGTGGATTATCCGAGTTGTGGATTAACTGTGCCATGGATACAGACGCCTGCGCTGGCTGTGTCCAGAATCAGACTGGTCGGGCAGGACTTGTTGGTTCAGGCACAATGCCATGTGGACATAGCTGCACTGCTTCCAGGGCCAGTTTTGCCCCAAAAGTGGTTTAGCGTTGGGCCTGAGCTAATAGGCCTTGCAGGTTCAGAGCTGATGTCAAGTAAAATCAGGTTGGCTGTTTCCCCATGGTGCTCTGAATCTGTGTGATGCAGAAGTGACTAGTGATTGATGGATCTTGTTGGGCATGAGGGGACACCTCACATAGCCTGTTGGTGTGTCTGTCCTACCTCTGTTTATCGACAGTCTCCTCCTTTTTGATGCAGTTGATCAGTGTGTACTAGTGCACTCTGAACTGGAGGTCCAGAATTATCTCAGTTTCATGCTGCTTGTGCTGGAGAGGGTATGAAATATATGTGCAAATGGATTTGTATTGCTTTGGGGATCCCTTTGGGGTTGAAAAATACCCCTTTGTTCCTTCTCTTCCCCCTCAGTGTTGAAGAAGCAGTGTTACACCACACAGGAAACTGTTGGAGAGCTCTGCAGGCGGAGCTTGTGCACCCCAATGAGCTGGGGGGGCCTCCGTGGCACAGGGCACGCAGTGCTGGGGCCAGTATAAACCAGAATAGCACGTTGTGGAAAGGGGGGAGGAGAGGGTGAGTAGGGCAGCTGACCAGGCTTGTCCAGGTTGTCTTCCTCCAACCTCTAAGGAAGCATGTTGTGCGGATGTGCTGGAGTTTGACAGGAAGCCTTGCTCAGTGAGTTTGCTGCTCTGCACTGTTGTAAATTGGCACAGAGGGTAAAACTGTGCTCTAAGGACTGAAAATCCTAACTCAGGGTGTCCCCCCTTTCAGTGTGTTGTTGCGTGCTGTGATTCCAGGGTACGAGTGACCAACAGCTCCTATTTGCTTCAGACAATTTGAGATTCTGAGTTAAATGTTGACTTCTTGCTTCTGTGGTGCTACCTAAGTAGTAAGTGTGACCAGACCCATTAGGACCTGCTGGTTGAGGAGGAAGAAACCAAATTCATGTAGTGTGTCAAATATTTTGTGGTAAGGGGAATAGGAGAAAGGAAACTTTACATTTGCTTTAGTTGGATACTCTTTGATTGTGACTTTGGATGTGATTTTACAGCATTTTTCTGAAAGGGGTTGTTTGCAAACTCACCAAACAGAAATGCTGTTGCTTTTAGAAGCTTTCTTTTGATGGTTTTGAAGTTCTCACTTCTCTACTGCTTGTTTTTTTAATATATAAAATTTATTTATTTAAAAGGCTTGAGATTTTCTTTCAACAGGATTTTGCAATCTAACACAAATCAGCATTCACTGAGCTTGGAAAAGATGCTCTACAAAGAAGTTATTTCTCTTTAATGAGAATGTATTTATGGCAGTGTTTTGGCTGTGCATATAGACTAGACTATGAACTGCTGATTTTAGATGTGCTTGCTCACTTCTAGAAGGACTTTGCTGCAGAAGGTTTGGTTAGCAATGTGGCTTCAATAGTCTGGGTCCAAAGGTTCAGCAGCACAAGAGGTTTTACTTTAAAAGTTGTTTCTCTCTGGTTTAGGAACTCTAACCCACCCTCTGTTCAGGGTTTAATCCTCTCAAGGTTTAAAGGAAGCAATCTTGCATTGATTTTTCATGGCACTGTGGAGGGAGGTGCACGTGTTTCCATCTGTCATCTCCTAACATTTGGAAGACTGCTGTGCTCTGCAGGGCTATGCTGTCTGTCCTTGTAAGGAGGATGCTTGCCTGTTTCTGACTTGGTTCCTTCACTTTGGGAGTCCTGTGCAGTGGGTTTTGGTCTTGTTTGTCTGAAAGTTTAGTGTGAAATTGATCATGGTCACCTACACCCAGGAAATGGTACTGGAGAAAACACTGGTAAAGTAATCTGTTCCCTTGGCTTTCTCCTGGCTCAGGTTTCTGAGTCATTCCTGCTGCTGGGCGAGAGGACTGCAAACAGAACGAATACTCTGCACAATGGGGTTCTGACTTGTTTCAGCTTCTTTGCTGTTGTGACCCCTCCTAAAACAGGGACTTCATTGTCCAGAGGAGCTCAGACAGGGAGTCCTCTGCCTGGAGCAGTGTGTGATGCAGAGAGAGGCTGCTTTTCTTGTTGCTCTATTTCCATGGAAAGGCTGGACTCTGTGCTGTCTTTAGCTCCTTTGTCCCTTGCTGGGAGAGGTCAACTTATCCGAAGTGTTCAGCTGCCCTCCTGGTTAAAATTGATCCTCTGACACCATCTCTACCACTAGAAAGAAATAGGTAACCTCTCATACATCATCTGTTTTAACTCTGTCTCTCTACCTGTTCTTTCCCAGGGAATCATGATACTTCAGTTTCTCCAGACCCTGTTTCCCCTCACCTCTTTCCCCTTGAAGTGAATTTATTGTACGGAACAGGCTGTGAAACTGCAAGAATGGTGGATAAAATTCTGACCTCTGGCAGCAGAACAAGCAGTAAGAGTGCACTTCTGGTTAGATCAGAGTTGTTTTCCTGATCTACTGCTAAGACAGATGTATATAAATTCCTTAGATCTGTGCAGCTAGAGTGGGGAGAAATCCCATCCATGGCTACAAACCAAATCTGTTTGAATCAGACTAATGTGTTAGTTGTGGTATCCAGGATCTGCTGCAGCTTCAGAGATAGCCAGAACAGATTCCAAATTCAGCTGCGCTGGGCTAGTGGAAAATCAGTGTGAGTGAATAGGATCTCTGCTCCCAGTTTCCTGCTCTGCTCAGGCTGCGCCTCCCGCCCTTTGTGTACTGATCTTGTGTGTCCCTTTTTGTCTGAGGCGGAAGCTGTTAATGAAGATGCTGTTCTACTCCAGCTGCTCAAAGTGAGATACTGTCTGTGGGAAGCTTCTCTGGGCTACGATAACAAGATAGGGTTTGGGGAATGAGTTTCTTGCTCACTTCAGCCTGTCCTAACTAACTTAGGTTTAATAACAAGCCCTGGAAGTACAGCTTGTTATGAGTGCTGAGCTATAATATTTTAAAACACTACAGGGGGAACTGAGGAGACCTTTGGGTCCTGTTCTTGTTTCAGTGTTTGTAAAATCTCGCCTCGCATCTCGTCCAGTTTCAGATGGCAGCCAAAAATGGTGATTCCCAGCTTCCCCCATTTCTTGTGCGCTT